ACAGTATTGCATTTTGATTGGGAATATGTAATTGAAAATCACGCCTAATAAGACAATTTAGACAACCGGTTTAGGTACTAGTAATATTATTGCTAAATTCAATTGATCACAATAATTAGAATTATTTGTGCATTAAATATTTAACCTACTTAGATTAATTAGTTTGGAGCGAATTGAATCTTATTTGTATGTTTTTTGGGTTGCAATTAATACATGTCACTATAAGAATCGAGTTCATGACTCAATCTGTACCATCATCCCTGAATATCCAGTTACGGTTCAGGACCACTATGGAATTAGTAATATCATGGATTATGAATGGTGGTGTAACCTTCATTAATCAAATCGTTGTCGCCCTTCGGTTCGTCCCTTTTCGTGGTTGACTTTATTGATCCATGAACGGCTTACAAGTTACGTACAAACTTGTTGGCGGCTTCCTACTTTTTGTCACTGTCTTTATATGTCAAATCTACTTCCTATGATTGCCAAGCATATTCACATATGCTCCACGTAGGCGCATTCGTGCGACGCCTACACTAATTAACCCAATTTAATGGTTTAAAAAGCCTTAAAACCTTTTCTTTATGTGGGTACTTAAAACTCATTCAAAAAGTCTTAGTTTTGATGATATGTTGGCGTAGGCTAAAAATACACAACTTGCTCACAAACACTAATGAGATGCAATTATTTTTTTTATTGTGAAAGTTTTTAATTGAAATAGTAATAAGATGGATAGAAACCTTGATTGCCTCGAATATAAGGGGTTTCACTCGGCCTCGATCTTATGAGAAGTGGACGCACCACAATAGCAACGCTACTTAATTAACTCAAAAACACAAAATTGATTTTATTCTTAGATAAAGAAAATAAAGGAAACACCATTGAGGAAAATAAAAGATAAAAATCCTAAAAACTAATCCTATCTTAAAATATTATCTTAATCTTATATTAGGAAAATTAAATTCTATCAACTTAAAATAAGACAATTTTATCAAGTCAAACTCATAATCCTACTAATCATGCATAACTTTTGGATTGACATTACTCAACCTCGCGATTAATAGACGACTCAAAAAAAAAATCAACTAAAAATATATTGATACTAAACAAACTATATTGGTGCTATTGAATATGCATCAAACTCCCCCTCTTGAAATCAACCTTGTCCTCAAGTTGGCGCAAAACATGGAATTAAATCGGTAGCATTGAAAGAAACACAAATTCCTTATCCAAGTAGAATTTGATAGGTGTCAAGATTACAATGATGAACGATCTTAAATGGACCTTCTTCTATGGTAGTGTTTATACCTTTATTGTAGACCTTTTGTGTGCCTACGGAAAGCCACACATAATCACCAACACTAAAGGGAGACTTGTGATGAAGAGCTAGGAGATGATCTTCTCATTCTTGCTTCGTACCCCTCTTGTACATGTTCTTGGACTCATATTAACGTGCATAGTCCGAACAAGCTGCCATAGTACCAACCACGTCTCCAACCTTAACCATATCTTGGGTTTTGGTAGTTGTTTCCTCTTTGGTAGCCACGGGTTGTGGTGGTAGTGGTTGGAGTCCAATTCTCCCACCTTTGCAATGGTGTATACATTAGTCTTGCCAAAGTGAATGGCATCATGATCCCATTTCCATGGTCGTTGACATAGGGAAAACTAGGTCATTGACTAATCCCCCCTAAGGTCAAACAAAATTTATAATCACTTAACAAACCTAAATACAAGTATAGAGGTAAGTCAAGGGTCGATCCACTAGGAACGGTTATGCTCAAGTGCTTTCAATCTATACCTAAGCTAGATCGAAGTCAAAGGTATGGGAAAAGGAGGTAACCAATACTAGCTAACTACAAGAGCTAAGAAAACAAACTAAACAATAGGGAATGGGGATCCACATGCATTCATGATAGTGAAGCTAATTAGGGACCAAGCAATTCAAGCAATGTAAAGGCAAATAGTAGGATCAATTTGGAGCATTCAATTAATCATCCTTATACTCTCTAACCTGGATTCCTCTAGTGCTAACCAACAAGAAGAAACATAACCAAATTCTCAACCAATTATGATCAAACCAATAGGCCATGTCAATTGATTCAATCATGCAATCAAGTTTAACATCATTGTTAACTACTCCAATCAAATTAAACAACATGCAAACCTCTATCAATCAATTTAACTACAACATAAGAACTACTCAAATTCCCAAATCAATCTCAATAATCAATTAAGCATGCTTTACCCAAACCCTAGCAAGAAGATTTACTCACTAATTATTATCATTAAATTCAACCAAACAAGCAATTTAAAGCATGAATCAACCAAAATTGAAGAAAAACTACAGTAATCAAAGAGTCATCAATCAACTAAACTAAATCAAATAAGTAATTAAAGAAAGCAATAAAGATGAGATAGAGTAAGAAATGCTCATTGAATAGTTGAGAAGATATCCAAAGCAATTGTCACACTTGATTCTTCAATCTCTCAATTCTCCATTGATTTTCCTCACTTTCTCTCTCTTAAATTACTCCTAAAATAAGCCTAATCTAGAGAGAGAAGCTCTCAACCTAAGCCTAATTATCAAAAAGGAAAATAAAATGAAGTATTTTAAAGCTATTCTAAAAGTTCAAGTTATAAAGAGGAATCCCCGAGCTATTTATAAGAAAAATATTAATAGTGGAAAAACACAAGCAGGGCTACTCGGGTAGGTGGTCGGGCGCGATCGCGTGGGAAGGCTTGACGGAGCAAACCTATTTTTGGGCTTAAGTAGTTGGCCGAGTATTTTGTTCGACCTATAGCATAAGAGAATTGCCGCACCACGACAACAAGTGCCGCAACACGGTGCTAGGCGCCGCGCCACGGCACAACAACTTGAACAGCGGTGCCCAGCTCCAGCCTTTGGAGTAGTGACGGCACACAACATGCATGTTGTCTTAGACGACTTAGGCAAGCATAAGATCTTGCCCATGAAACTTTGCCTTGACTTTCAACTTGGTTTGCTTTGCTCTAACTTCCCAGAATTGGTTTTGTTTACTTTTGAAGCTCGTGTTGGGCATCCTCTTGGACATTTGAGCCTTGAAAAATCCTAACACACCTACAAAAAAGGTCAAACAAAACGAAAAGTGAAAGAATAGCCGAGAAATGCTTAAAAAGAATAATAAAACCATTAAAAACATGCATTTCTCTAAACTAACACACAAACACGCAAAGCAAGCATTATTACCTAAAAACTTAACTAAAAAGGCTAAGAAACAAGCATAAACAAAAGATGAAACCTACCCTATGAGTGCCATAAATGACCCTCATTAGTCATCCTAAAAGTAATGAACAAACATCCATCGGAATGATATTGCACCATACTTTACCTTTGAACGTACCAATTTCAAAATTAACCAACGCTTGTTCGTGGCTAGAATTACGCCATAATTATTAACCCAATCAAGTTTGTAAGGTTATGAATAAGCTCGTTGTTGAAAATTAAAAATATCAACCATCTTCTTTGATGCAACATTAGTAGTAGCTCCACCATCAATAATTTAAGAATAAGTTTTACCATTAATGGAGCACAGTGATCGATAAAAATTATATCTTTGCTCCTTATCTTTCTCAAGAATTGGTGCAACATGTAAGAGTGGATGAAGTACCAACACATCCCTATCATCAGGTTCTGGTGACAACATGGGAATGGCATGGTGATCCCCCGCGTAGTCCTTAACGTCCTGCTCCTTCCCTTTAAAGTCACGGGCTAGCGGTGAAGAGCAAGTGCATGCCTGCTCATCTTCGTGAAGCTGTGATATTAATGCAAGATTATCGGAAAGGGAGATTAAGACTTTTGACGGGCAATCTGACTGTAGCCTTTACAACGATAACACACCCTGTTTGTGACGTATTTGTTAGATATTTAGAGTGTTGATGGTTTGCGCGATCGCAACCATGAAAGAGCGCCCACGCAAGTTAGGCGCGGCCGCGCAGAGAGTGCGCCTAAACCGCACACCTCTCTGGAATTTGGCAAAATTGGAAGGGTTAGATGGCGCGCCCGCGCCTCTGGTTGGCACGCCCGCGCTGCTGGTCGCGCTTAAACCGCACCCCTCACTACCTTCCTTTAGAAATTTTGCAATTTTTGTGAGGAGCGCCCGCTCCTCCTTGGGGCGCGCCCGTGCCACCTGGCAGTTGCGGTTTCATTTATTCTTTTAATTGCGAAATTAAAAGAATGAGGCATGTTCTGGTTTTTTGCTCTCTGTTTTTCCTATCTAAGTTTTCACTTTTCTTCACACTTTTCTCTAAGAAACTTGCAATCCCTTATAGAAATCTCTATCACTTAAGTTATTCTTTGAGAATTTGATCATCTTACTACAAATCTAAGTGCAAAGATTGTAGTGTTGTCTATTGTATCTCAAAGTGATTTTCCGGTTTCAACCCAAGCACTGTGGTGGGGGAAATAATCACTTTAGGAAAGTGTTTACACGCCTTAGACAAGTATCCGGTATTGAAGACTCACGTGGTCCATTGTATTTTCATGTTCTTGGTGATTTCATTGGCTTGGAGTAGAGGCAAGTTTTAGTATCTTTTACATTAGAGTTTTCCTTATAATTTTCTAATTACTTTGATATTTGGTGCTTGGATTGTAATACTTTAACTAGTATTGATTATTGTATAATTTGATTGAATTATACTCTACTTAGGTTTTGTTCCACCAATTTTAAGTAATTCCTATTGTGTTGAATTGCTAGAAACCTAACAATCTAAAGTTATTATTTAGAATCATGTCTAGTGTGAAAGAACTTACCACTAATTTTGTCAAACTCAAGAAGTTTGATGTTGTTGAATTTTGACGTTGGAAGAAGAAAATGTATTTTCTTCTTACTTCGTTCAAGGTTGCCTATGCCATTAGTACTCCTAGGCCTGTTGAACATGGGAATGAAACGATGGAAAATGTTCGTGAGAAATCAAAGTGGGATAATGATGACTTTATTTGTTGAGGTCATATTCTCAATGGGATGGAGGATGATTTGTTTGATGTGTACCAACATGTTGAGTCTGATAAGGAATTATGGGAGTCTTTGGAGAGCAAATATATGGTGGAGGATGCTTTTAGCAAGAAGTTCCTTGTAAGTAATTTCAATAATTTTAAGTTTGTTGATAGTAGGTCCATCATGGATCAATTTCATGAGATACAACGTATTTATGGTAATTTGAAACAACATGGAATTAATGTTCATAAACTATTTGTTGTTTCAAGTATCATTGATAAGCTACCTACTAGTTGGAAAGATGTGAAACATGAACTTAAATACAAAAAGGAAGACATATCTTTGTCTGATTTGGTTATCCATCTTCAAGTTGAAGAAGGGATAAGGGGCATGGAAAATGCTAAGGATGGGAATCCTAGCACTTCTACCATTAATGTGGTGGAAGAGGGTAAATCTAGTGCTTCAACTAGTGGAAAAAGGAAGAATGTGAATTCTTCCAAAGGAAAGTCCATGAAAAAGAAGGACAACAACAAGTTTGCTTGTTGGGAATGCGGTAAAATTGGACACCGCAAGAAGGACTGCTACATTTTCAAGAAGAAAATGGAGAAATCCAAGGAGGGCCATGCTTCTAGTTGCAAGGACCCAACTGTCAAAGGTAATCTTTACATGAGGTCAAATTTAATTCCGGTATGGATTTAAATGCAACGGATCCAAACATTTTTATGGTACAGGATGATGACTCATGGTGGATGGATTCGGGGGCTTCAAGGCATGTATGTAAGGTGAAGCATTGGTTCAAAACCTTTCACAAGGTTGTTGATGGTGAAGAGCTCTATATGGGGAACAACTCTTCCATCATGGTCCAAGGAAGAGGACAAGTTGAGCTAATGTTCAGTTCGGGCAATGGTATCATTCTTAGGGATGTACTATATGCTCCAGATATCTCTAGAATCTTGTATCAGGCCCTACCCTGAATCGACTTGGATATAGACTAGTGTTTGAAGCAGATAGATGTATTATTACTAGAGGTAGCACTTTTGTTGGACGTTGTTATTTAACTCATGGATTGTTTAAACTCTCGTTAAGAGAGAAGTTTGTAATGATGGATGATGTTTGTTTTAATGTTGATAATGACAATGGTGTGAATTTGTTTTATTTATGGCATTCTAGATTAGGTCATGTTAATTTAAATAAGTTGAATTTCATGTATAAACTAGAGTTAATTCCACCTTGTGATATTTCTTCTAATAAATGTTCTACTTGTATGTTGAACAAGATCACTAGAACTCCTTTTAAGAGAGTTGAGAGAAGTTCTAATATTTTAGAATTGATCCATAGTGACTTGTGTGATTTTCATAGTACTCCTTCTTTGGGGAACAAATGATACATGATTACTCTTATAGATGATTTTTCTAGGTTTTGGCTTGTCTTGGAAAGTGCTTGTCAATGAAGGACTTGGGAGAGGCTGAGCACATATTAGGCATCAAGATCTATCGGGATAGATTAAAAAGGATGATTGGATTGAGCTAAAGTACTTATATTGATAAACTACTAGCATGATTCAACATGGAGGAGGCCAAGAGAGGGAACCTACCCATGTCACATGGTATAACTCTCAGCAAGAAGCAATGTCCACAGACACCTGATGAGCGAGAGGGGATGAATCATATTCCATATGTTTCGGTTATTGGATTAATCATGTATTCCATGATATGTACTAGGCCGGATGTATCGTATGCCTTGAGTGCTAAGAGCCGATATCAATCAGACCCAGGAGAGGCGCATTTGACTGCGGCCAAGAATATCCTAAAGTACCTAAAAAGGAGCAAGGACAAATTTTTTGTCTATGGTGGAAGTAATGATTTTGTTGTTGAAAGTTACACCAACGCAACCTTCTAGACTAACAAAGATGACTTCTAGTCCCAGTCAGGGTACATATTCTGTCTAAATGTAGGAGCGTTTAGTTGGAAGAGTGCTAAGCAAAGCACAACTGCAGATTCTACAACTGAATCCGAATACTTGGCAGCTTCAAAAGCAGCTAAGGAGGTAGTTTGGATTCGTAAGTTCATTGGTGAACTTGATGTTGTACCCTCAATCAAGGGTTCGGTAGACCTCTATTGTGATAACAATGGAGCTACTACTCAGGTCAGGGAGCTAAGGGAACATCAGAAGGTCAAACATGTCAAGAGGCGATTTCACATTATAAATGGAATGGAAGTCCGAGGATGAAATCAGAATTTGTAAGATTGGAACAGACGACAATGTAGCCGATCCACTCACTAAACCTTTGCCTCAAGTGAAACACAACAAGCACGTTGAGGCAATGGGAATTAGGCACACTAGAGATTGGCTTTGATTTCTTTGTACATGTGTTTTCATTGAATTTTGAGGATTTTAATTTAAAACACTATGTTGAACCATTCGGTTTTTGGAGTAATTTAATTTTCTGCAAATTATCATCACTCCATGTCTATTTAATTGTGGTTTAGAATTAAATAATGAGTCCACTCGATTTTTGAGAATATTCAAAATAGGGTATCAAGACAATGTCTTGGATAAAGAAACATCTGTTAAGTGAACATTGAATATTTTAATCGAAAAGTATCCCTAATCCATGTCATTTAAATGATGGACAATTAATGACCTCTTGAGATTAGTGTGTAGTATGATTTACAACACTGTTTCTTGTGCTACAAGGACATGATTGTCATAAATCATTTGCACATGTATTTGTTTGGAACTTTACCGGATCGACCTATGAGAATATTTTAAGAGATTTAAATTCGTCATAAGTATATTTCTCATTATATCTATCGGAACCCCTTTCCTCGTCCATGAGTATTGTAAGTTCTCTTGTTAGAGTACTAGTCCATTTTGATATTGTCAAACGTCTACCCTAAACCGCGCCCCTCACTGCCTTCCTTTAGAAATTTCGCAATTTTTGTGAGGAGCGCCCGCTCCTCCTTGAGGCGCGCCCGCGCCATCTGGAAGTTGCGGTTTCGTTTATTCTTTTAATTGCGAAATTAAAAGAATGATGCATGTTCTGGTTTTTTTCTCTCCGTTTTTCCTCTCCAGGTTTTCACTTTTCTTCATACTTTTCTCTAAGAAACTTGCAATCTCTTATAGAAATATCTATCACTTAAGTTATTCTTTAAGAATTTGATCATCTTACTACAAATCTAAGTGCAAAGATTGTAGTGTTGTCTATTGTATCTCAAAGTGATTTTCCGGTTTCAACACAACCACTGTGGTGGGGGAAATAATCACTTTAGGAAAGTGTTTACACGCCTTAGACAAGTATCCGGTATTGAAGACTCACGTGGTGCATTGTATTCTCATGTTCTTGGTGATTTCATTGGCTTGGAGTAGAGGCAAGTTTTAGTATCTTTTACATTAGAGTTTTCCTTTTAATTTTCTGATTACTTTGATATTTGGTGCTTGGATTGTAATACTTTAACTAGTATTGATTATTGTATAATTTGATTGAATTATACTCTACTTAGGTTTTGTTTCACCAATTTTAAGTAATTCCTATTGTGTTGAATTGCTGAAAACCTAACAGTATTCAGGCCAACCATCACAGCAGGGGTATGCTTATCTAGTGATGTTCTATGTGAGTCCCGACCCTAAGAGACGAACAAGTAGTGAGCATGGAGTCCTTGGACTCATTAAATTGTCTTTCAATAGTGGCAACAAGCAAGCAAAGATCATCAAATGTCTCGTATGAACTCATCTCGCACCAAATCGAATATGTCTCGCCAACCCTATTATAATTTTGGCACACTTCTGGTCTTCTTCTTCGCGGCAACCACAAGCTAAATAGAGCTTCTCAAACACTGTCACGTACTGCTCGACTGTTAATAAGTTCTGTTGTAAAGAATTAAGCTTTGACGAACAATTTTTGTTTATACAATTTTGGCACAAATCGCTTATGCATCTTAGATTTTAAGGAGCCCCAAGTTGTAAATTTTTTTCCTTTTGATCTTTGATACGTTGTGATTACAAGTTCTCGTACCAAGTTGAAGCATAACTGGATAGTTTCAAAATTGCTAGTTCAAATCGTTGGGCATCATCAAGAGTTTTGTCATAAAAAATACAATCCATACACCGTGACCAATCAAGGTAGACCTTAGGGTCTTTGGTTCCTTCGAATTCTGGTAATTCACTCAAATTTAGATCAGAGTATTTTTGTTTTGGTTGTAGTGAAAAGGTAGCAAAAGAGTCTTGCAATTTCATGATATGCTGGTCGTATTAGACATTGCGTAGCTCTGCTTGTTCTACTCGTAAAATGAGCTCTTCTACACGTGATGGATCACCATTGTTTACCATTGCGAGATCGTTGATGTACCATAATGTATCCTTCTAGCGCCTATTGATGTGTTTGCGTAGACTAAAAATACACAACTTGCTCACAAACACTAATTAATTTTTTATTGTGAAAAATTTTAATTGAAAAATTAATATCAAAAGATGGATAGAAACCTTGATAGCTTTGACTACAAGGGGTTTCACTCGGCCTCGACTTTAACGAAGTGGACGCACCACAATAGCAACGCTACTTGATTAACAAGAAAACAAAACTGATTTTATTCTTTGACAAAGAAAATATTCAAAGGCAACAATCCTTTGCCAATTAGGAAAATAAAAGATAAAAATCCTAAAAAATAATCTTATCTTAAAATATTATCTTAATCTGATATTAGGAAAGTTAAATTCTAACAACTTAAAATAAGATACAATAAGTCTTGTGTAAGTGGGGTGCATGTTAATTTTATTATTTTTATAGAAATTTTAACCTCGACCCCTAAAGGGTAACTTTTAACTTTTCGTTGGTTTGAATTTCATTTTAATGTGTAATTTCTTATAGATTCATGATTGCATATTATAAAAACTAATATGATTAGTCTAATATATTTTAAGTTATATGTAAGATAAAATTTATTATTAGAAAAATAATAACTTTTGTAATAAAAAAGGGTAACTTCAAATACTTTTAAGATAATTTTAACCCGTCTTACAATGAATTAACGTACATCCGCCTTTTTGGAGACTTTTTTTTATCAAGATAAAATCCTAATCCTACTAATCACGCATAACTCTCGGATTGACATTAATCAACCCCGTGATTAATAGACGATTCAACAATAATATAATGGTGCTATTGAATACACATCATTTGACGACATAAATAAAATGGAGGGAGTATTGATACTAAACAAACTATATTGGTGCTATTGAATATGCATCATTTGATGACTTAAATAAAATTCCAGCATACTTATTAATATAAAAACATCACGTATAAACCAGAAAATTACATTTAAATCATTGAAAACCTTATCCCTTTTATGGGTAATCAAGCCCTAACATAATATTTAAAAGTGGTGTGTATAATAAATTTTCAGCATTAATGAAGGGCTTAAATTAAAAATCATTAATTAAAAACATGTTATAATCATTAATTTATCAACCACAACAATCTAAGATCAAACCTTAACCAAATAAACAAATTCCATATATTAGGGTTTGTAAATTGGGGGGTTTTAATCAAACTAAAATCTGAAAATTACGACTATAATTATAAGCACTAAATATAAAAATAACATCAAATCATAATGAAAGTCATGCCTTATAATTAAATTAACAAACAACTTTGGAAATTAAAACAGGAGGAAGAAGTTTTTTTTTTTTTTTTTTTTTTTTTTTTTTTACCAAACCGAAAAGAGAGGAGAGAGAGGAGAGGGATACAGACGGCCACCGGTGTGCTGGTGGCTGTTGATGGTCGCTAGCGTGGTTATTGGCCGGTTGTGCCTCCGGTGTGCTGGTGGTCAGCGTGAAGGAGAGAATGTCGTTGGAAGAGAGAAGAAAAGAAGAGGAAAAGAAGAGAAAAATAAGGAAAAAATAAAATCTGACAAATAAACTCGAGTGGAAAATCTTTGAGTTTTTGGGGTATATATACCCTCTTTTAAAATTA